GCGCTCAGCTCTCAGCGCTCTGCTGAGCGGCCCGCCCGGCCTGCCAAGGTGCATTCTTCTCCATGGAACCCTTGTGACCCTGCCTTCCCCAGCCCGAGTGAGTGGGCGCTCTGATTCCGTCCCCTCCCTTCTGACCTTGCTACCTTGCTTACCACCGCTCTCTGTCTCATGTCTGAATTTTTTCTTGTGCAAAGACAAGAACTTACCCCACCATCACCACTAACAAATCCAGGACAGACTGACAGATATTACGGTACATGTGAATCCTCTGGGGATCTTACTAACATGCACGTGGGGAGGGGGGGAGGGCTGAGGCTCTGTGTTTTCAATAAGCTATCCTGGTGGTGGATGTCAATGCTGTCAATTTAGGGAAAAGGTGCCTGACTCGGCCTGTTCCTCTCAAGACTTTCCCAGTTGTAGCAATGAGAATCCTGAATGTGGGGAAATGCCTTAGGTCCGGGAAAACTGGGATGATTTGTCACCTTATACCACAGAGCACAGTTTGAGTGACAAGGACATAGCTATGAGCTATGGTAATTTACCTGTTGGTTACATTGCTGAATATACATATTTATTTTTACATGTAAATATTTTTAAAGATTTATTTATTTGAAAGTCAGAGTTACACACACACACACACAGAGGTCTTCCATCCACTGGTTCACTCCCCAATTGGCCACAACGGCCGGAGCTGCGCTGATCCAAAGCCAGGAGCCAGGAGCTTCTTCCGGGTCTCCCACGCGGGTGCAGGGGCCCAAGCACTTGGGCCATCTTCTGCTATCCCAGGCCACAGCAGAGAGCTGGATTGGAAGTGGAGCAACCAGGACTAGAACCAGCGCCCATATGGGATGCCGGCGCTTCAGGCCAGGGTGTTAACCCGCTGTGCCACAGCGCTGGCCCCTTTACATGTAAATCTTATTTTTGTAGAACAGTTGGAGATTTCAAGAACTTAGATCGAACAGACATTCCAGAAAAGCTCCAAACTGAAGCAGTGAGTTAGTTTAAGTTGACGGGTATCATAACTCATGTGACCCTCATCTGTTAACTCACCAAATGATCTGCAATGCTTAGTAGTGGCCTTGCAGGGCTGAACACTGAAATTTCTCACTCCTTTACATAGCAACTGTCCATGGCCAAGACTATTTGAGGTTAAAGGAGCTCACTGGGCTTCAAGTCCTCAGTGCGCTTTCCCTGCTGCTGCAACCACAGGAATGAGCCCAGGACTGTGAAAGCGAAGGAGAAAGATCCTTTCCGAAGTAGGAGGTAAGCTCATTGCAGTCGGCTCAGCCGTTGTCAACGTGTGCTTCATCTTAGAATCACCTGAGGAGCTGCAGAACCCACCGAGCCCTCGCCCCACAACAAATGACTCAGAATAGCTGGGACTGGGCGCAGGCATTCATAGATGTTTGTTTTAAATCTCTCCAGGTGATGCAGATGAGCAACTAACATTGAGAATCACTGTGCAGTCTTTTTTTTTTTTTATAACAGACATCTTGTTTAATCAGTCCCTAACCTGTTACCTGCACACATTCCTCTTCACTCCCCTCGATGCCCACATAGTCTTTGGTTCTGATTGATCACTTCCTTGACCATGTTCTCCTCTTCCTCATAGTTGGGTCTTGTTCATACAATGGCGTCACTGACCTGGGACCATGTATAACTTGTTGGAGGTAATTATTATCCCCAAAACATCTGACCTTGGCAGACCTTTCCTAAACTTCATTGATTCTATTTTTGACTCTTTCACAAAAGGTATCCTTAACATCGTCCACCATTGAGTTAACATGTGAGGGTGTTTCTCTTTTTGACTGTAGATTCTCTCAAGAGTCAAGCTAAATTTCTCAAAATATCTGCACCATGTTCCTCTACAAACCAGCCCTGAGAAATTTTGATGCAATGCACATTCTTTTTTATTGCAATATAATTCACATGCCATAAAAGTCATTCTTTTTTAAAGATTTATTTTATTTGAAAGCATTACACAGAGAGAAGGAGAGAGAGAGAGAGAGAGAGAGAGAGAGAGGTCTTTCAGCTGATGGTCCACTCCCCAATTGATTGCAACGGCTAGAGCTGTGCTGATAAGAGGCCAGAAGCCAGGTGCTTCTTCTTGGGCCATCTTCTACTGCTTTCCCAGGCCATAGCAGAGAGCTGGATTGGAAGTGGAGCAGCCGGGACTCAAACCAGCACCCATATAGGATGCCAATACTGCAGGTGGCAGCTTTACTCACTACGCCATAGCATCAGCCCAAAAGTCATTCTTTAAAGTACACAATTCATTGGCTTTTAGTATATTCACAAACTTGTGCAACTATCATCACTGATTCCGGAGCATTCTCATCACTCCAGAAAGATGCTCTCTACCCTTGAGTCATTCCTCATTCCTGCCACCTCCTCTTCAAGCACTAATCTATTTTTTGTCTCCAGGGATTTGTCTATTCTAGATGTTTCCTATTAATGGAGCATTCGAAATGTGATCTTTTGATCTGGCTTCTTTCATTTAGCATTTCTGAAAGTTCACTCATGTTGCACGACATATCAATACTTCATTCATTTTGTGGCTGAAGAATTTTCCATTGAACACATATATCACATTTTGCTTACCCATTCATTAGTTGATGGGCACTTGATTTCTTTCCATCTTTTTGGCTATTGGGAATAATGGTGCTGTAAACGTTCATACTCAAGTTTTTGTGCGGACATGTGTTTTCATTTCTGTTGGCCAGATAATTAGGAGTGGAATGGCTGGGTCATATGTTAATACTATGTGCGACATTTGCAGGAACTGCCAAATTGTTTCCCAATATTATATTCTGACCTCCTTGATGTAGCTCTCTTCATGAGTGTGAGGTGGTTTGTATCTGTTAGTGGGACAAACGATTCTCAGGCACGTTAAACGTTTTTCTTATCTGTAAAACATCTTACATGCATGAGGAATGATTTCTCACGTAGAACCTTCTTGTCATCTGGTTCCATCAGTTCTAAATTTGAGGCAATCCCCACACTGGAGCTCTTGGGGAGCCCAAAGATAGCTTTAGTGGTGAGGATTTGGGGTCTCTGCCTGAGCTACTGGGTTTCTGATCATCCCTCCAGCCACCTGTCACAGTCTATTCCTGGCCGACAAGGACTGCTAGTTGCCGAAGCATGACTACTGAAACCGCTTCCATCTGAGAACGCCCACCAGGCATACAAGTGCAGAGCCGTGACTGATTCGGGGGCGAGGAGGCGGAGACACTCATAAGCCTCACGGAGCCAGGTGCATCTACCGCGTACAAAGGAGAAACCTAAACGACCAGGCGCCCTGGGCGAAGTTCCTTTGACCTCTGATCCCGCCTTTAGGCTCTGGTATTCCCTGTCTGGTCCGCCCCGCCCCTCTCCTCGCCTAGGGGCCTGAGCCTGCGCGGGATTGCAGGCGGGAGCGGTCTTCCAAGCATGCGCAGTCGCTCGGCCCTGCTCCTGCAGGAGCTCCCGCGGGGTGCGCGCTCGCGCTCGCGCTCGCGCTCACGCACACGCACAGCCTCGCCTGCGCGCGCGCGGGCCCTCTCGCTGCACGCGCCCCCGCCCCGGC